ACTCATTCCATTGGACTTTGCTTTGTCCTTTGATGTCCACACACTTCAAGTGACCCATCTGTATACTTTTCTCTCCTAAATTAACCACAAGCCCCTCAAGGGCAGGGGGTATGTCTTCTCTTTTAACCTCTGCTCACTTTAAATCAGCAAACACATGATGTGATGTTTGTCTGGGTGTCCAGGCCTCTGCCCCCAGGAGATGGCTGATCAATATGGATTGACTAAAAGGACTCATTGATTAGTTTTTCATTCTGATTTTAGAGCCCAGACAAGCCTTGAGGCTCTGGCTTCATTGACCCTTCACTTGCCCTTCATCCTGGCTGCTCAGAAGCTCACATCCACCTCCCAACCTCCTGGTTTACATGCAAAGACATGGATGTTACTCCCACCAAAACCTTTCCCTTCACAATTCTTGATATCTAAAGATGCTTCTGAAATGTTGAGAATTTATTTTACAGGGAGACGTGGCTACAGAAGAAGGATTTCTATCCCACATAGTTGAATCCCTGGGATACACTGCTCCTTAAAATGCTTCCAGCTTTGATGAACAAACTCTGAGCCTCAGTTTCTTCATCTGTGAAATAGGGAGAATAAATCCACTCATAGGTTACTGTGAAAACCCACTAACACACTTAACATGATCACTAAATGAACAGTAGCTACTATCTCTGCTAATGAGAAAATTATCAACACCAAACCAGCAACTGTCAGCTGTGACTATTTCAAATGCCTTCCCTCCAAAGGATTTGGAGTGTGCATGTGAAATAGGTGTAGAGAGATGGGAAGACAGAGGATACCAGAGTAATGCCTTAGATGAAAGCGACATTGGAATGACCAAGCTGCCACCTGTGACCACCGGTGGAGTCAGCTTCTCCAGCTAGACACCATCTCTAGAAAGCTGGTGCTTGGTCTCAGATCTACTGATCCAAATTCCCAGAAACAGCAACTCTGGAGACCCCTGGAACTAGATGACTTTGGTTGCAGTGGGTGTGCCAAGGAAGCGACTCCCACAGTGTTAGCCTGAGCTTCCCTCAGGAACTGCCTCACATTCTGTTCCTCTCCTCCAGGCTTCATTCAGCCCCCAAGGTGCAGCTGTCTCCTGCTGTTCTCGTAACAGCAGCTGAGCCAAAGGCAGCTGAGCAGAGGAGGGTGAGGGGACATGGCCATTTCTGCCTCTCACGACAGCCTTCCTCTGGCTAAGCAGCTGTCAGGGTGGCTCCTGGGTTCAGATTTGCTTCCTCACCCGAGTATGCACCCTGGCCTCTCATCGACCCAGGCCCACTGTTTCTGTTAGTTGGAAAATCCACCATTTGAAACACCACCAAACTACTCTGCAGAAAGATGTGATGTTGGAGATGGGTTCCAGTCACCAAACAGCTTCTGAAAATACACCAAAAAGTCCACAGTGGTTGTGGCAGATTCTTCCCTATGTGGGATTATTCTGGGCAAAATGAATAACCGAGGCCAGGTAGCCTGGCCTCAGTTCTCCTATCAAGCCTGAGAGAAAAGCATCATATTTTCCTGCCCCTCATTTTACAGGCAGAGGGAGTAACGTGCCCAGGTCTCACCGTGAAGCTGGGACACTGTCCCCTCACTCTGTGCTTCCAGGTGGACTACACGACAGCTTGTACTAGGTAACCAACTGTCTTGGTCTGCCCAGGACTGAAGGAGTTTTTGAGACATGGCACTTTCAGTGCTAAAACCAGTTAAGTCCGGGGAAACCCTGATGAGCTGGTCAACTTAGCCTGTCCCCAGATTAGCAAGTCTTGACCAGAGGTTGCCAGCCTTCCATCCTGCTCTGGAATTGGCTGCTCATGGTAGCTGGAAATGAACAGGGTGCCATCTGAGACGGAGGTGAGATGCTTGCTTCCTAAGAAGCTGTGCAGTGACGGTCATACTGCTAGAAAAAGCCTCCTGAGATGCCCTGCCCCATTTTCAGCCGCTCTACTCCATTCCTTCAACAATTCTCTTTCTTCTGAACTACAAGCCTCTACCCAAAGCAAGATAAATGCCAGGTACGGTGGCTTGTACCCATAGTCCCAACTACTAGGGAGGCTGAGGCAGGAGGATCACTTGAGCCCAGGAATTCAAGATTACAGTGAGCTATGGATTGTACCACTGCACTCCAGCCTGGGCAACAGAATATTTTTTTTAAAAAGCTGGCTGGGCGCAATGGCTCACACCTGGAATCCCAGCACTTTGGGAGGCCAAGGAGGGCAGATCACGAGGTCAGAAGATCGAGGCCATCTTGGCCAACATGGTGAAACCCAATCTCTACTAAAAATACAAAAATTAGTGGGATGTAGTGGCGCGTGCCTGCAGTCCCAGCTACTTGGGATGCTGAGGCAGGAGAATTGCTTGAACCTGGGAGACGGAGGTTTCAGTGAGCCGAGATCGTGCCACTGCACTCCAGTCTGGGCAACAGAGGGAGACTCCGTCTCAAAAAGAAAAAAACAAAAACAAAAAAAACAAGGAAGATAGCCCATGACCTAGGATTCTGTTAACATCCTCATGAATGTGGAAACTCCCTGAGTTCCTCAGAGGCTTTGGATTTCTCTTTGTAAAGGAAGCCAATCTGAGCAAAATGACTGTGATTCAGAAGCCAACAGGAGGCTAATCATACCATCCCTCAAGGGCCATATGGCATGTCACCCAAAAGACACTGGGGTCTGCCTTAAGTATCAGTGAGATGGTCTCCTCTGATTCCTGGCCTATTTTCCAGAGTTGGTTTCTTGCATAATTGATAGAGCAGGGAGTAAACTACCTTGCCCTGTGACAGCCTCAGAAGTCACATTTAAGGATAAGTAGATCAGGTTTCTTGAGGACACAGGATCTTGGGGCTAGGCACCCTGTCCATCTAAGGCATTGCAGCCCCTCCCATCAGAACTGCTTTATTTCCAGGAACTCCCCAGGGCTACGTGAGAAGGCAGCCCCCAGTGACCCATTAGGGCACCCTCAGGACCTTCCTGTTGAGCTTTTGCTAGTTCTGATCCCAAAAAAACCCATTAGGAATGCTTCCCTTAGTCCAGCATAACCTCCTCTGGGGAGACTTCAGCCCCTAATGTCCCAAACCAAGGATGAGAAGCATCTGTCCATCCCATTCCTTAGACAAAAGGGCCTTGAGGGGCCATTTGGGAGGGGACTGACAAAGAGTTGGGCTGAATCAGGAATCATCCCCAGCTGTTCACCCAGAGAGGTTTGTGAAGCTCAACAACAAACATGTTGCCTTCCACAAGCCAGGCGTCGTGGCCAGGCCACTAGAGAATTCCTGCCAGGAATGGAATCTGGAACAGACTCTATGGTCAACCATTCCCAGATCAGAGGAACCAGAGACCTTGGACACCAACACCACAGAGTCTCCATCCTGAGGCTGCATGGGGCCATGTAGGCTGGGGGACAGGCCAGGCAGAGCCTAGCTTTCTCATATGTTAGAGAGCACCTGGCCCTCTTCCATGCCACCATACCTCCAGAGAGTCAGAGAAGACCAGCAGCCCAGCTGCCTGGGAGCCTTCTCTTCTCGGCTTCTAGGAAGCAGCTCTGCTGCTGAACAGGGCTGGAGAGCTGTAATTATCGAGACAGGATAAGAGCTATTTTAGGAAGGAGCCATCCTGCTGCCAAGGCTTTTGACTTCCTAAACTAAAACAAGACGCACAGAAAAAGGGGGTGAGGGTGGGGCAGAACAGGGAGGAGTGTGCTCAGTCAAAAACATCAAATCTTGACCAAAGGGAAATATTAACCCCTTCCCAAAGGTACAGATTTGCATCTAGGGGTGAGCAAAAGGCTAGCTAAGACACTATCATCCCCTGGCTTTGGGAAGGAGGGCGTAACCCGACCCCCTATCCATTTCCCTGTGGACTCCCTCTCTCCTAAGACTCTCCAAGAGCACTTACTCAGTCTGTTCCATCTATTTTGACATTTGAGCACAAACATTTCATATTGCTGTTTAAACGTTTCCTGTCTGTGTCTTATCTCCCCAACCACATGGCAAGTTTGTCAAGGCCAAGGAATGTGTGTACTGCGAAGCTTCAATGCTTCCCCTAAAAGTGCCTAGCAGAGTGCGAGGCATCAGAATAAAAACTGTTTATGGAAGGGAGGGAGGAAGGAAGGAAAAAGAAAGGGAGGGACTTACTATTTTGCATGGAGATAATCTCTGAAGGTAGCCGCTCCCACCTACAGCTGAGCTTATGGCATAAGGCTAGATAAGAACCCATGGCAGTGGGAGGTGGCAGCCTTGTTTCTGGACACCTCCCCTTCAGTTGTTCTATTATCTGAGCTTAGGCTGACCTCCACTATGCACTCATTTGTTTTCTATGGCCAACTGTCCATCCTGAGTCAGCCTAAGAATGGGACCCATTAGAGGCCACTGCTAGGCTTTGAATAATAGAGAAATATGGCAAGAGGAAGAATGGAAGTAGGAAGAGCTTTGACCATCTTATCAAACATGGGCCAAGAATAGCCAAAGTACTCATGGGAACAATGCGGTGAAATCAGGACACTGTTTACCAAAATCAGGACACAGGACTGCCAAGAGCAGAGTCCACCTTGAGTTTTTCCAAGTTGAGGACCCAAATAGTGTGTAACCCAGAAAAGCGACCCCTTTCTGGAATGCCCCAGGCTGAAAAGGGGAGAACCAGGTAGGGACTGATCCAGTGGCTACCTAGACAGCCTTCTCACAGAGCACTTGGCAAGATTCATCATCTGCCAAAAGGTCTGTATTCTTTCTTTCTAGGACTGCAACTAGCTCATACAGTGCTTTTGTGCAAATACCCCTCTGGGAAGATGCAGATCCACAGGTGAACAGCTTGGCAAATGGAACACGTTAGATTTCGGTCCCCCACTTGCCCCCCTCCACCAGGTGCTCTTGTGCAGTGAACAATCTGCCCAACCATAGGGAGCAGCTGTCTCCCTCCATACCCACTCCCATTATAGGACAGGAGAGGGATTTGGATAGTGGGGTGGGCACAGGAAGACTGGAAGTAACCTCCCAGGGGTGTTCTTACCTCCTCATCTGTCATAACAGAGAAGTAGAAGCCAGGCATTCCCAGGGGGCAGCAAATGGAATCCAGAGTGTGCCGATAGGAAAGGAAAAAGAGAAATTTACTAAAGATGCCCAGTGGACTTGGGCAAACCTGGCCCAATCCCTTCCTAGTGCAAGTGGCCCAAATAATAGCAGCTAGTATTTACTGAAAGCTCGCTGTTGCTAAGTATCATGCTAAGTGCTTTATAGGTAATAGCTTGTAATAATCCTCACAATAACCCTAAGAGGGAGCCATTATTCTCATTAACAGATGGGGAAACTGAGGCTTAGAGAGGTAAAATAACTTACCCAAGGTCACAGTCAGCAAACAGTGGACCCAGGGCTCAAATTCAGTTAGTAACTCAAGTTTGTACTTAACTGTGCCCCTACTTTATAGAGCTTTCCTCCCTCTGAGGAGCAGGACTGCCCTTCTCTGCTCTTTGCTGACCATCACTAGGAAGGTTCACGCTGGTTGGGATTGGGTGGCATTCCCAGGGCTCTCTACTCCCCAGGAACTGCTTTATCCAGAGCCCTGGCCTCTGTCATGCTCATAGGGCTGGAGTATATTTTGGGCCATGATGTTCACAACATGAAGTCCCTGCTGCCAAGATTTACTCCACGAGGGTGGTCCCCACCCTCCCCTGCCCCTAGAGAGGCCAAGAGTATAAAGGGAGCAGAGGGTGAAGGCTGGGGGACACTTCTCTCAAGCATTCTAGAGCTACAAGATACACTGATGGCCTCAAGGAGAAGGCCCAGACATCTCTGAAGATCCTGCCTGGGCAGCATCAATAAGTACCCTAGGTGGTAGAGTGGGGTCATGAGGAGGGTTCTGAGGAACCAGAGAAACACTTCAGAAGAGTCCCCAGCCTGAATAAATATGAAGTCAACCATGAGCAAGACTGTGAAGCAGGCAGTATGCTTTGGTGTATTTTTTAAAATTACATGATAGGTGGCCAACTAAGCTGAAAGGCCATGAGGCTTAAATTATTCTCCATTCCTGAAGTGACTTCCTATTAAAAGGAGACTCTTGAAAATGGAAAAGGTGGCCAGGCGCGGTGGCTCATGCCTGAAATCCCAGCACTTTGGGAGGCTGAGGCGGACAGATCACCTGAGGTCAGGAGTTGGAGACCAGCCTGATCAACATGGAGAAACCCTGTCTCTACTAAAAATACAAATTTGCGCCGGGCGCGGTGGCTCAAGCCTGTAATCCCAGTACTTAGGGAGGCCGAGGCGGGTGGATCACGAGGTCAAGAGATCGAAACTATCCTGGTCAACATGGTGAAACCCCGTCTCTACTAAAAATACAAAAAAAAAATTAGCTGGGCATGGTGGCGCGTGCCTGTAATCCCAGCTACTCAGGAGGCTGAGGCAGGAGAATTGCCTGAACCCAGGAGGCGGAGGTTGCGGTGAGCCGAGATCGCGCCATTGCACTCCAGCCTGGGTAACAAGAGTGAAACTCCGTCTCAAAATCAAAACAAAAACAACAAAAATACAAATTTGCTAGGCATGGTGGTACATGCCTGTAATTCTACCTACTTGGGAGGCTGAGGCAGGAGAATTGCTTGAACCTAGAAGGTGGAGGTTGCTGTGAGCTGAGATCGCGCCATTGCGTTCCAGCGTGGGCAGCAAGAGCAAAACTCCATCTCAAAAAAGAAAAAGAAAAGGAAATGGAAAAGGTTCCAAGCCCCAAAGAAATTACTCTAATGGTGGAATTTTCAACAAGATGAGAAGTTCCTCTGCTCCTTCAAGTCAAAATCCCAGCATTTATCTCCTAAATGACCCAGCTCTATAGATACATAGATGCCACTCCTTGCCTGTCCTCCCATATCCCAAGCTCCCACAATAGGCCCACAGGAGGAAAAAGCACAGACCTTTTAGCCACCAGATGACATGATTGCACATTTCCTCAGAGACATCTGAAAGTAACAGAGAGATGGTTGCTTTTCTTCTCCCTGTGGGATGCACATCCCACCCTCCACTACTTGCAGCTCCCTTTCTAGCTCCACATTTCTCACCCAAAGGTGCTCTCAGCCCTTGGTCCTCTCCAAGAAGCTCCTCCAGCCTAGGACTATATATTCCCACTCTCCCTATCCCTCTCTCTGTGCCCTTGTGAGTACCTTTCCCCTCCTGGAAGTCTAAATCCAGGTCATCCGCACCCCACCCTCTCCACTTTGTTGCCAGAGTATTTACCTGAGGCCCTTATTCTATTTAACAGCCCTTTTCAGCCCTCACCCCAGCTGTTCTTCATCTCCACTCAGGAAGCAGCTTTCAACCCTGCAAGCCGTCTTTACTACCTTCAATTGAAAAGGTAAGCAGTGTTGCCTAGAGGAGTCAATGCCTGTCACCCAGCCCAAGCATCGTCATCGATGTCATTAGCTTGGAGCACAGAGAAGCTGGCAGGGAAGGAATGGAGCAATGGGCTCAAGTATTGGACTAGCTTTGGCACTGGCAGGAGAGCAGCCCTTAGGCCCAGAATGAAGAGTTGGCCTTTCCTGCCCACCCCAACATCCCCATCTCACTAAACTGGGGCTGCACCTGGGCAGTCTGCTACTTCACATACCCAGGAAGAAAGCACTAAACCTTTGAATGGGTTGTTTGCAGGCATGCTTGGGGGTCTGTGGCACTTCACTCAATGGTGCCCAACTTGGAGACTTCTTTGGTGATGGTGGTGGTGATGGGCTTGCCTTCTCTCTCTCGAACTTCAGATCTTCACATAAAGGGCTAGAGTCTATTTTAAAACCGGACAATAAGGGATCTAGGGAAGGAGAACACTTAGGCTCAAAATCAGGTGTTGTTGGCCGGCTTTGGGGTGTTTCAACTTCAGGATTCAGCAAGGCCCACCATGAGGAGCCAGGCCCGTACCTAGGTAAGGACCGAGGAGGCAAGGGCCGAGGAGTCAGTTCCAGTTCTGCATGGATGGAGGACTTTTGCGAGAGTTCTGGATACCTGGGTGTGGATCCTTTGGACATGTAGGTAGTTTCCAGGGGTTTTTGGGTTTGCTGTTTATAGATGAGCTCTGGAGTGACAAACATGGATGATCTGTGGGAGTCCTCAGATGCTGATCGAGCTGTCACACGGTGAGTTGGCTCTACTGACCGTACCTCTGGGGAGATGGTGACCCTGCGGCCAACCTCGCTGTTTCCTCGGATTGGGGCCCTCACGTTGGACTCCACCTGTGATGATACTAAGACCTTTGTGGAGGGCTTGCTTTCGGGGTAGACAGAATACTTGTGAAGAGACTCAGGATCTACCCATGCAGAAACTCGGTGTATGCCATCAGAATCTTGAAGGACAGAGAGTTTGAGTGATGAATCCAAGTTCATATTTCTATACAGGGCCTTGGGTTCCAAAGGAATTGAACCATAAAGACTTGTTTCTGATTCTTCTACAGGGGCCCTTCTCTGGGCTGTCTTATAGTCTGCAGAGACACTGCTGCTTCTGTGCTCTGGGAGAGAGGGACTCCTTGGAGATCTGATCTCAGTAGTAGTCATAATCCTTTGGATGGGTTCAGTTTGTACTGCTTCATCTTTTGGGTAAGACAAAATCCTACGGGGAACTCTGACTCCTTGGGGGTTCTGGACCTTGGATGGTGGGTCATCTTGTAAGATTTGTGATTGCAAGTTATCCCTCTGGTCTTGAAAACTCAATCGACGAGAAGATTTTACATCTGGGATTGATGAAGCATGATGGCTGACCTTGCGCCCTGACTTGCTCTCACCACCTCTTCGTGTTGCTTCCTCTCTGGGTGGACTAATATTCCGTTGTCTGCTTGAAGCATGGGAAGCCACTGTCTGAGTTTGCTGGCTCTTTCGATGAGGAGAGGAATGGCGGGATGATTCTGTTCTTGGTCGAGTCTCGGTTCCCTGAGGGGTGGATACTGCATAGCGTCCAGGCCCTAACTCGGGGGAGACAGATCGAGGATAGTCTGATGCCGAATGGGGAGTGATGGGATGTGCAGCTTCTGATCTTCGGTGGGAAGGGTTCAGGGAGACTGCAGCACTTCGATGGCTTGAGGTAAGAATGTACCCATGTCCCCGCTGAGGGAATGTGTTGGTAGTAACCTCAGACCCTCTCTGTGCTGAAACTGATACCTTGGCCCCAGGTTTATTTGTCTTGACAGTCTGATAGATTGTGCCTTTCTGAGTAGATCCCATATTTTACCGGCTGGCTTGTATTCAGAATCCTAATGATGCCTGAATATTTACTCTGTTTTAAAGCTGCTGTTCTTGGGCTCCCACAAAATTGGCTGTTGTTCTACGAGTGTCTCAAATAGTCCCCTTAGCTACCACTCTGTCTGGTGATGTCATAAAGGAAGGAGCTTCCTTCCTATTAAACATCGTAGTGTAGAGCCACAATTCTTCACAGAATCCCAAAGCAGTACCTGAAAGGAAATTGTGGATTTGTCTTTGGAGTTACATCACCAAGCCTTTGGCAAGTTTTTAACAAAACTGGGATTTCCTTGTATATAGAGAAGGCTCCAGACCCTTCCTTACTCTCCCCAGATTCTAGAAATTCTCAGGGACTCATCCAGAGAAGGAAACAGCCAGAAGATCCTATGAAGACAAGGTCAAACCAAATATGCTGTGTTAACCCCAGTTTTAATAAGGTACAAAGTTGCCCCAATTTTGTTTGAAACTGTACTGTGTACAAGTTTAAAAATACAGCTTCAGGGCCGGGTGCGGTGGCTCAAGCCTGTAATCCCAGCACTTTGGGAGGCCGAGGTGGGTGGATCACAAGGTCAAGAGATCAAGACCATCCTGGTCAACATGGTGAAACCCCGTCTCTACTAAAAATACAAAAAATCAGCTGGGCATGGTGGCGCATGCCTGTAGTCCCAGCTACTCAGGAGGCTGAGGCAGGAGAATTGCCTGAACCCAGGAGGCGGAGGTTGCGGTGAGCCGAGATCGCGCCATTGCACTCCAGCCTGGGTAACAAGAGCGAAACTCCGTCTCAAAAAAAAAAATAAATAAATAAATAAAAATAAATAAAAATAAAAATAAAAATACAGCTTCAGCCTTTTCGGGTCTCAAGGATGGTTTCATTGCTCCTGGGATAAAAATCCAAGTTGCTCGAATAATAAATTCTCATATTCTTGGTCCAGGAGTGTCTAGTGTTTTACTAATAAAAGGGATTTGGGCTGGGTGCAGTGGCTCATACCTGTAATCCCAGCACTTTAGGAGGCCGAGGTGGGCAGATCACCTGAGGTCAGGAGTTCAAGACCAGCCTGGCCAACATGGTGAAACCCCGTCTCTACTAAAAATACAAAAATTAGCCGGGTGTGGTGGCATGTACCTGTAATTTCAGCTAGCCAGGAAGCTGAGGCAGGAGAATCACTGGAACCCAGGAGGTGTAGGCTACAGTGAGCTAAGATTGTGCCACTGCACTCCAGTCTGGGCAACAGAGCAAGACTCAGTCTCAAAAGAAAAAAAAAAGAAGGATTTGTAGTTAGTCATTGGTTTCTATCATAAATGACTAGTTGGGTACCTAGGAGAAATTACCTGAGTTGCCTGGGCCTTGGTTTCTTCACCTGGAAACCACTGCCTGGCACATGGGTGTCACATAACAAATATTAATGTCCTTTCTCATGATCCTGTCAGCCATCCAATTAGGCAGACTCTGATTCTCTTCTGAAGAGAAACTTTCCAATTTGGATGACCATTTTGGAGAAGACTCTGTCACCTCTCTCTCCCTTTCACATGTGCTTTCTCTCTGTCTTTTAGACATAGACTCTACTATATCCAACATTCTATCATGAACTCTGAAGGGTCATTGAGGTTATAGGATGGTCAGCTTCATTCTTCTATGCTCTACACTGATCATTCTCTTCCGTTAACCTTTTTTACTCAAATGAGCTATAATACAATTGATTAGGTTTAGCTATTAATTATGACATTCTAGTCCTGCTTCCCATTGATTTAGCTTTAAATATTTTATTTTTGTTGAAACAGAGTCTTGCGCTGTCGCCCAGGCTGGAGTGCAGTGGCACGATCTTGGCTCACTGTAGCCACCTCCTGGGTTCAAGCAATTCTCGTGCCTTAGCTTCCTGGGTAGCTGGGATTATAGGCACCTACTACCATGCCCTGCTAATTTTTATATTTTTAGTAGAGATGGGATTTTGCCATGTTGGCCAAGCTAGTCTCAAACTCCTGACCTCAAGTGATCTACCCGCCTCGACCTCCTAAAGTGCTGGGATTACAGGCATAAACCACTGTGGTTGGCCTATGTTTTAAGTATTTTTTTTTTTTTTTTTGAGACAAAGTCTCACTCTGTCACCCAGGCTGGAGGGCAGTGGCAGGATCTCGGCCCACTGCAACCTCCTTCCGGGTTCAAGGGATTCTCCTGCCTCAGCCTCCTGAGTGGCTGGGATTACAGGCGTGTGCCACCACATCCAGCTTATTTTTTTGTATTTTTAGTAGAGATGGGGTTTCACCATGTTGGTCAGGTTGGTCTCAAACTCCTGACCTCGTGATCCACCTGCCTCAGCCTCCTAAAGTATTGGGATTACAGGCATGAGCCACCTCGCTCAGCCAGTTTTAAGTATTTCTAAACCCCTTCTATTCACCAAAACGAAAACAGCTTTGGCTGGATGCAGTGACTCAGCCTGTAATCCCAACACTTTGGGAGGCTGAGGTGGGCGGATCACTTGAGCTCAAGAGTTCAGACCAGCCTGGGCAACATGGTAAGACCCCATATCTATAAAATAAATAAAAATTTTTTTTGAGATAGAGTCTCAAAAAGTGCAGTGGGGTGATCTCAGCTCACTGCAACCTCCGCCTCCCTGGTTGAAGTGTTTCTCCTGCCTCAGCCTCCTGAGTAGCTGGGACTATAGGAATGCACCACCATGCCTAGCTAATTTTTGCATTTTTAGTAGAGACAGGGTTTTACCATATTGGCCAGGCTGGTCTCAAACTCCTGACCTCATGATCTGCCCACCTTGGCCTGCCAAAGTGTTGGGATTATAGGTATGAGCCACCATGTCTGGCCCAATAAATAAATATTTTTAAAAATTAGAAAATAGCTATATAAATAATTATTAAAAGTTGAAATCACCTAAGAGGACCCCTTTACTATTTTAATAAGCATCTTTCCACATATCTTTCTATGCATTTACCACATATAGACATTTATTTATAAATTTACATAGAGTCCTATTATAAACTTCCTAGCATCCTAGTAACTAGCATTATTCCATAACATGTTATGAATACCTTTCTGTCAATAAATCTATATCTATGATATAATTTCTAATTAATCCACTTATGGTTGTGCCAGAATTTTTAAAACTAGTCCTTTACTGCTGGACATTAGGTTCTTTTTTTCTTGCAGGATGGAATGCAGTGTCTATTCATAGTCCTGAGCACAGTGCACTAAAGCCTTGAAACTTCTGGGCTCAAATGATTTTCCTGCCTCAACCTACTGAGTAGTCCACCACATCTGGGTTGTTTCTGACTTTTCAATATTATAAACAATATTGCAATAAACATACATTTCTATAAATATATCTTTGTGTATAGTCCAATTTTCTCCTAGGACAATAGTTCTAAAGCCTGGCTGCACATTAGAATCACCTGGAGAGCTTTCAAAGCCCATGCTCCATCTCAGACAAAATGATTCAAATAATTTGGGGGTAAGGTCTGAGCATCAGTATTTTTTAAAAATGCTTCAGATGGTTCTAATGTGCAACCAGGGTGTGGATAAAGTTCTCTAAATCCTCTCTATTCAATGTGGGGTCCATGGACCAGTGTCATCAGCACCACCTGGGAGATTGTTAGAAATGCAGGAGCTTGGGCCCTACGTTGGACCTGCTCAATCAGAATGAGTATTTAACAAGACCCCCAAGTGATTCATATGTACAACAAAATCTGTGACATACTGGTCTAAATGGAATTTCTGGGTCAGAAAGTAGTCACATTTAAAATACATACTGACAAATATCCTCCAGAGAGGTAGTACCAATTTATACCCTCAACACAGTAAAGAAATATGTCTGTTTCCCCATACTCTCAGCAACCTAAGATATTATCAATACTTGTCCTCTGCAATCAGCTAGGTGAAAAACAACCATGTTTTAATTTTCATTTCTTTGATTACAAGTTAAACTGAATATCTTTTAATATGCTAATTGGCCATATGTACAGCTTCGTTTGCAAATTATTCTTTGCCTATTTTTCTGTTAAGGTGTTTGTCTTTTTCTTACAGGTTATTAGAACTCTTTGTATATTAGGGATATAAACCTTTTGTATATCCAATATATTGCAATTATTTCCACTCAGTTTGTTGACTTTAACCTTGTTCAGGCAGGCATTATTTGCAGTAAAGAAGTTTTACATTTTTATGTACTAAAATCCACCAATCTCTTCTTACTTTGAAGTCATGGCTTAGCTTTTCCTCCTCCAAGATTTAAAAAAATCATCACATATGGCTGGGTGAGGTGGCTCACACCTGTAATCCCAGTACTTTGGGAGGCCATGGTGGGCAGATCACCTGAGGTCAGAAGTTTAAGACCAGCCTAGTCAAGATGGTGAAACCCCGTTTCTATTAAAAATACAAAAATTAGCTGGGCATGGTGGTACACACCTGGAATCCCAGCTACTAGGGAGGCTGAGGCATGAGAATCACTTGAACGCAGGAGGCAGAGGTTACAGTGAGCCAAGATAGTGCCACAGCACTCCAGCCTGGGCAAAAGCGAAAGATTCTATCTAAAATATATGTATATATATATCCTTTACACATATTTTCTTAACTTTATGTATTTATTTTTTACATTTACATTTTTGTTTAATTAGACATTTATTTTTGGTACGAGGATTCAGCTTTTATATTTTTCCAAGTGGCTGGTCAGTTATCCCAAAGTCCTTTGTTAAATAATCTAATTTGATACACACTATCTCCTATTCCTTTTTTTTTTTTTTTTGAGCCTGAGTTTCACTCTTGTTGCCCAGGCTGGAATGCAATGGCATGATCTCGGCTCACAGCAACCTCTGCCTCCCAGGTTCAAGCAATTCTCCTGCCTCAGCCTCCTGAGTAGCTGGGATTACAGGTGCCTGCCACCACACCTAATTTTTGTATTTTTAGTAGAGATGGGTTTCACCATGTTGGTCAGGCTGGTCTTGAACCCCTGACCTTAAGCGATCCACCCACCTCAGCCTCCCAAAGTGCTGGGATTACAGTGTGAGCCACCGTGCCTAGCCTACTATCTCCTATTCTTAATTCCCAAACTTTATTCTTTGGTATGTTTTTTAGACTATTTGGGGTTTTTTGAGACAGGGTCTTGCTCTGTCACCCAGGCTGGAGTGTGATGATGTGAACACAGCTCACTGTGGCCTCAGTAGCCTGGGCTCAAGTGATCCTCCCACCTCAGCCTCCTGAGTAGCTGGGACCACAGGTGTGTGCCACCGCACCCAGCTTATTTTTAAATTTTTGTAGAAATGGGGTCTCACTATGTTACCCAGGCTAGAAACTCTCTATTATGTTCTATAATTCTTTCCACTTTTATGCCAATGCCATACTCTGTTTATTGCAGCTTTATACTATGCCTTAATATCTGACAGGACAAGTCCTTCCTCCTTACTCTTCTTTTGCAGCATTGTTTCAACTATGCATTTATTAAAAGTCCTTTAATTTTACTCCTCTATACAATTAGTAGTATTCAG